CCCGCGACAGTGCTCCCTCCCACCGACATGGGAGACATGGGAGACCCTCCGAAAAGTAAGAGCGTTGCTGCCTCGGGGCTCGGTGCGCGCCGGCGGGCCCCTCCGCGCAGCTCCGGGGCTCGGCGCGGCCGCAGTCGCCCTGGAGGCGGCCTGCGCGGCCCGCGCGCTGCTGGCGGCCGGCTCCTCGCCCTCCGAGCCGCGTCCTTCTGTGCAGAGGGCGACCTCCTGCCCGGGGGCTCTCCGCGAGGGTTATTATGTTGCAGAAGTCTGCGCGAGCGTGCAGCGCCCGGAGATGGGCGCTGGCATCAGACTTGCAAAGGAGCGCGAGTGACAACTCTATTGATGTCTGCTCCTGCTAACAATATCCAGTCCTAGGTGCTGTTTAAGAGCGTGCTTCCTAGAAAATATAGACATCCCCTCGTTCACTTTACGCTTCTAGTCAAAACCTTTTCTTTGACTTGACTTACCCATAATCTTTCCCAATGATTATGGCAAAGAGGGAGGAGGAGGGGGAAATACAAAATGAGCGCGTTTGATTGCGTGCTAGGCTTACAAATGTAGACTATTCAAATCGGCATTTTACATATATTCCACCTCCTTTATAAAATGAGTCAAGGTTTTGATGGCACACTTCAATTACCATCCCGAAGTGCAATACTCTTTTTAAAAAAATGAAAGAAGAAGAAGAAAAAAAAAGAAAACCTCTCTGAGTACGCCCTATAAGAGAACGACACTAAAAGTGTGTTTATCTCTGTAGGAAGTAAACGGTTAGTCAATCATGTATTTATTTTCATTTCAGAAAAACGTCTGATTTCCCTGTGTGTTGGTTGCGGCAATCAAATTCATGATCAGTATATTCTGAGGGTTTCTCCGGATTTGGAATGGCATGCGGCATGCTTGAAATGTGCCGAGTGTAATCAGTATTTGGACGAGAGCTGTACGTGCTTTGTTAGGGATGGGAAAACCTACTGTAAAAGAGACTATATCAGGTATGCCATTTATACTTTTGCCTTAACTTGTGAGATTTCCCCGCTTTTCTCCGTTCATTGGGGTGGCTTTTGTCTTGGGGGAAGTGTTATTTCGGGGGTCCAGCACGGAAAAGTTTCCTTTGAAGTGCGTTTTTAAAAAAATTAAACGATGCTGTTCGTGTAGTTTTTTTTTTAAGAAAAAAAAATAGGACAAAACCTCTATGCGGGGTTTCTCATAAATTGTATGCTACTAAGGCCTGTTAAATTGTTCTTGGAATCTTATGGTGCCCAAATTATTTTCTTTCGCCCTCTCCTTTCTAAAACCAATGAAGACATCAACAAAATTTCAAGGTGAATGAGTTTGAGTTTCTAAACTTTAAAAATGCCGTCGATTTTGGGTGTGTAATGTAGTGTTTTATTTGCTTGCTTTAATTGTGTTTTACTAGTAAGTTTAGGAAATTTTGGAAGCGTTAGTGAAATAGAAAAAATAAAAGTTAGAAGCACATTTAGGGATGTATGTAGCTTGTAAAAGCAGATAGAAATATTACCTCTTGTAGGGTAAGAGCTTCATCCTGGAAATTTTCAAAAAGCAACCAAAATAATCCTTGCAAAAAAGACCCGGAAATTTAATCTTTTTAAATATTAACCCTTTGGTGACATCTGACGGTCTTTGCTTTCTTATCTTATCTGAGCTGATGAATTAGACTGAGCAGATCAAATTGCCCATCATCTGTCCCCGAACAATTGGGATATTTAGATAATTGAACAGCTTCCTTTCTCACATTAAAATCTAGGAACTGATAAAATGAGTGAATTGCCCATTCGAAGAAGACTAAAACCACAGGCCACTTTCTGAATTTGGTTTTGTTGTTGCTGTTTCAGTTTACTCTGTTTCAGGCTTCCCTAAACTCCAGTTTTGGAGAACCTGTGTGAATATATCAGAAAGTTCATTTTCAGCTTAGGAACTCAGTAGAATTTGTAAAGATTTTTTTTTTTTTTTGGACTGCCTTAATAGCAAATGGAAGAGCTATCGCCTTTGCTATTAAGTCGAGGGAGAGCAAAAATATTTTCAAAATAATTCCCCAGTGACTATTAGTAAATAATTAGATGTTATATAGGTCAGAGGGCTTTTGGATTTTGAGAACTTTTATTAAAGTTTAGTAAAGACTTAATATGCAGTTACAATTTTCTCCTGTCTACACAGTAAGAAACATTAAAAAAAATACTAAGTGGAGTGTGTGATCTTGATAAGCAAATTGAACAGTGCAAGGCGGAGAAATTTTTTAATACTTGGGGAGTAAGAGAGGGGGTTGAGGAGGAGAGAAATTTTCTAAGTTGTTGGGTCAGTGGCAAAGTAAAGCCCTAATCCCTTAAAATGAAAGCTCTTCCCAGGGTAGATGGAGGGAGGGAGAACTTGAATCTGCCTTTTAACCTCTGCCCAGCGAGGCATTTTCACTGCTTAGTTGGTGTTCGGGCGCAGGCTTCTGGGGACGAGAGCCGGCTTGGACCTCAGGAACATTTTTACTCCTGTGGAAGTACCATTTTGCTAAACTGTACAGAGAGCTGCGTGTACCTAGTTTTGCAGTCATCTGTAGGAAAATGCAGTCTTTTCTTTCTGAACTCAGTGTGTGTGTGTGTACACGTGCCTGTGCACGCACGCGTGCCCATAAACATGCACATGTGCTCTTAAATCCTAGTTTGTAAGAGCAGCATGGAGTGAACCTCTGCGTTTCCAAGTCTCTTCTAGGACAGCACTCCCTCCCCCACCGACTCCGCGGGTCTGCCCCTCTCTCTGGCTATCCGTTGGTGGGAATGGCCAGGCGAGTGCTGGTACTGAAAGGGCCCGTAGTGCAGCTTAGAAGGACCGTCCCTGGGTGAGGAAAGGCCCACAAAGAGAGTGCTTAGAAGGGAAACGTTCAGGCTGGTCTTGGTTCTCAAGCAGACCGAAATAGACGCAGATGCTTCCGAAACCCGGAAAAGAGCAGATTTTAGAAATCACAATAACTCGAGACAGGGAGAAACAACATCTGCATTGTTGCCTGCGGGAATGTGCGGTTGGTAGGACACAACTCGGCGCAGTGCAGGAGGGGGTCTGCAGGTTTCATTTTGTTACTCAGTGTGTGTGTGATTTCTGGGACCTCACAAATTCGGAGCGGTGACAGTCCCTCTCCACAGCTTTTCTGTTACTGCTTCAAAGATGTATCTGGCCACAGCAGTGGAGGGATAAGGAAGTGAAAGTGTGGGGCCACTGGCCGTGGAGTCTCCCCAGTTCCTTGCATGAACTGCCCCCAGCTGGGTTCTACTGCTCAGGCCCGGGTTTTGAATCTACGGAAAACTGTCCCTAGTTTGTGCTAGGTGTTGTGGATTTAAGAGATACTGAGTTGGAGAGGGCCGCTGGAGAGCAAAAGACCCTGAAGAACAGGGCAGGGGTGGAGGAGAAAGATGCAAGAAGCGGGAAATAGCTTCCTTTCTGTCCTCCCGTTCAGAGCGGTGATACTGATTTTTCCAGGCACTTCTGGGCTTTCAGTGGGATCTATGTGTCTGGGGCCGGGCTAGGCCTGCCTCAAGTGACCCCTTGCTGTGCTTCTGTTCCCTCCGCCGGCGTGCAGGTTGTATGGAATCAAATGCGCCAAGTGCAGCATTGGCTTCAGCAAGAACGACTTCGTGATGCGCGCCCGCGCCAAGGTGTACCACATCGAGTGCTTCCGCTGCGTGGCCTGCAGCCGCCAGCTCATCCCTGGGGACGAGTTCGCGCTGCGGGAGGATGGGCTGTTTTGCCGCGCCGATCACGACGTGGTGGAGAGAGCCAGCCTGGGCGCCGGCGACCCGCTCAGCCCCCTGCACCCGCCGCGGCCGCTGCAGATGGCAGGTATCCCACCACCCACCGCCCACGCTGAGCTGGCTCGGAGCGGGGCCAGGCCCAGGGGTGGGGCCTCCGAAAACCCGGAGGCTGCAGCCAACGGGGCGCCCCGGGTTGGGATGGCAGCCTTGGCCCTCAAGCCAAGGTTTACAATGCGGGTTTGCTCTGCTCGCTCCGGTCTCCTGCGGCGTGATTGGCCGTGCACGCTGCCTGCCCTGACCCCCAGACATGGCTACACGTCGCAGGAGGGCCGCGCAGAGCCACCTGTGCACACAGCAGCACAGGCCCTGACGGTGCTGTCGCTGGACCTCGGTGTCCACGCGGGCGTGCTGCACACAGGGCCTGCACCGGAGCCCCAGGTGCCCGCTGTGGCTTCCTCTAACTCTCTGCTAGAAGCTTAAGAGCCTTCCATATTTGGCCTCCCAGTTTCTGTTTCTTTAACCCTCCCAAACACATTTTCAATTTTATTTTTTATCCTTTACTAAGAGAAAAGACCTTGGAAAGATACAGTCTTAATAACTGCAGGTCACTGCACTGAGCTGTAATTTAAAACTGTCAACAAGCTGATGTGCAGTAATTGCCCGTTAAGGGGAGCCTGCCTCCTTAGACTATGCGTGCGTTCTACATGATTTGGTGAGAATTTCTTCTTCGAGCCTGTTGCTGAGGCTCTACTTTGACCCTGAAGGTGTTGGCTTGGCCCCAGGGGGTTGCCCTTCCCTCAGAGGGGAAGTCATCTGATCTGGTGAGGCAGGGCGCAACAGCCTGCCTCCATACCCTCCCCTGGTCCCCACTAGATCCCCAGCCACAGCCTGCATAGTTTTAATGTTTCAGTTCTCACTAAGTAGTGGAGCTGAGGAAACAGCACACACACACACACACACACCCCTTGTCTTTTTCTGGCAGCTCTAAGAATCTGTGGGGGGATTTGTGGACTAGCTTTCCTGGGGGCAAACTCGAGGGTGGGAAAGCCGGAGGAGGCCAGGGATGAGGATTCCCAGCAGTTTGTCTTGAGCTCGGCAGCCGGGCCCACTTTCAGCTTCCTTTGCTTGGGGTCAGCTGTCTCAGGAGCATCCCACGTTGATTTAGTGTGGAGAAAGGGCTGGAGAGAAGGCTAGAAGCCCAGAACTCCTCAGCCCTGTGCCCCACTGTGCTGGCTGGGACTGCAGTCCCAGCATTCCGGTAGAACCCTTGGTCTCCTGCCGCAGATGCCCTGCTGGTATGAGGCTGTCCTTGGAGGGTCCCGCAGTTACTTCCCTAGTGCCCTCCCGGCCTTCACCCAAGAGGAAATGCCAACCCCAGAGGTGGGTTATTCCGTGCAAGTTGGGCCCAGACAGGGTATGGGAAAGGGCCGGCCGGGGGAGGAGGAAGGCGGTGCTGCCCTAGCTCCCTGATCTACAGGACCTGGCCGCTGCCAGGGCCAGGGGCAGTGTTCCTGCTGGGATTACCCAGCCCTGCTGTCTGCGGATTAAGGAGTGAGATTTCGTTCTTCCTTTCCCCCTTCCCACCCCCAACTCTGGCGCCCCTGCTTGGTGTGCCCAGGCCTCAAAGCACTAGCAGATCTAGTGCCTCCTGGTGAGCTGCTGCCCTGGCCCCGCGCTCACAGCCCGCCTTGTCCCGCAGCTGAGCCCATTTCTGCACGGCAGCCGGCCCTGCGGCCGCATGTCCACAAGCAGCCCGAGAAGACCACCCGCGTCCGGACTGTGCTGAACGAGAAGCAGCTGCACACCTTGCGGACCTGCTACGCTGCCAACCCTCGGCCGGATGCGCTCATGAAGGAGCAGCTGGTGGAGATGACAGGCCTCAGCCCCCGCGTGATCCGAGTCTGGTTCCAGAACAAGCGGTGCAAGGACAAGAAGCGGAGCATCATGATGAAGCAGCTCCAGCAGCAGCAGCCCAACGACAAGACTGTGAGTGGCCAGGCCGGGATGGGTGGACGGACGGGGAGAGAAGACTGAGGGCCTTCTGGAGCCGCTGGAGCCAGAAGCCCGCCCTCCCCTCCCCCACGCCGCCGGGGAGCCAGACTCCTGGAAGAGGAGGAGGAGGAAGAGGAGGAGAAGGAAGAGGAGGAGGAGGAGGAGGAGGAAGAGAAGGAGGAGGAGGAGGAGGAGGAGGAGGAAGGGAGGGGCAGGGGAGCAGGTGAACACCCAGCCCTGAGGGCTGGCAGATGGGAGAGGCTCCCTGTGTGGTGGGATCCCTGATGCTCTCCTCCCAGGCTGGCAGGCCGACTTGACTGAGCTTAGGCACCCGGGGTGGTGCCAATGAGGCCTGGCATGGACTTGGCTGAGGTTGAGGTCGAGGTCATAAGCTCCACAGTTTCAGGAGAAGAAGGAGCAGCAGTACCCTGCGTGCCTGTCTGTATTCAGGGGCTGAGTAGACGCTGCCCTGCCAGCCTCCCTGCCAGCCTCCAGCCGCTGCTACATGGTTAGGCTGCAGAGGCCCCCCAGGGTAACTCCACGTAGAGCTCCCCCTACTCCCTTGGGGTCACCCAGGCTTCTCCAGAGGACCAGGCCCTGGCACTGCAATGCCAGGCAGCGCCCCTCTTCCAGGCCTCCTGGCTAAGCTTAACTACAGTTTCTTCCTTTCTTTTTATTTTTTCCATTTTACTGCTTTAGCCCTATTTTTAAATGCTATAAAATCCTCTGTCATTAAACTTGGCTGGCCTGCCAAGACTGGGCCCGGGCACTTCCTCAGTTGCTTAGTGCACAACAGCACTGTAGCAGCCAGGTCCAAAGCTCATGAGCAGGGCCTAGCTCTGCAGGGCGACCCTGCCAGGAGAAAACCTGTGGCGGCCTGAACCAGAAAGCCACCAGGTCTGAGGCTGAAGGGCGCCAGCCTGCCTCAGCTTTCCACCTGTGGGAGGGTAGACCCTGTGGGGGGGGGGGAGCTGGGAGGAGCTCTGAAGGCGAGGGGGAAGAAGAGGGGCAGTAGAGCTTATTTCTGTAAAGTTTAAGTAGATTTAGTAGTCCAGCCCACAGAAGTAGAAAAACAAACCCAAACTCCAGCTCCTATCCATAGGTGCAGCGGATTAACTGAATCAATAAAGGACCACTGTACAGATAAGATAATACCTGGGTATATTTGCTTAGCCTGGGCAGACAATGGAGGGAGGTAGTTTGCTCATTAACATGTTGGGGTGGGGGGTTATTCACAGAATATCCAGGGAATGACAGGAACTCCCATGGTGGCTGCCAGTCCAGAGAGACACGATGGTGGCTTGCAAGCTAACCCAGTTGAGGTGCAAAGTTACCAGCCACCTTGGAAAGTACTGAGCGACTTCGCCTTGCAGAGTGACATAGACCAGCCTGCTTTTCAACAACTGGTAAGTGTCAGCTCCCAAACTGAGAAGGCTGAATTCCCCGCAGGCAGGGAGTCTGGCCCACCTGTCCCAAGATTCTGGGGGCCTGTGCTCCTTGGCCCTTGGATGGAGGAGAAGAGGTACCAGAGCATGCCTGGCACAAGAGAGAGGAGAGGCAGATACGAGGGAAGCAAGCCTTGTGGGAGTCTGCTCAGGAGACTGCAATCCGCTTATACAGGCTGAATTTTCCGTCAGCCAAGAGGATTCCTGAGATGAACCCCGCAGTGCGCAACTAGATGGGATGCCTGAAGATGCGTGCACGTGGGTGGCAAAGGCATACACTCTCAGCTTTTCCAGTTTGTAGGGACTTCAGGGACACCTTTGGACCAGCATTCACTGAGTTTACTCCCGTCTCCACATGCAGAGAACGGGACATTCCAGAGCCCAAATAAAAGCAATTGTAAAGCATCTATGTTATAACACAGAATCTATGTTTTTGTCAGTGAGCTGCAGGAGCTCACTAGGTGCAGTTTTTAAATACATCAAGAGATACGTAAATCACTCCGTGGCTGATGCTTTGGTTACTGTGTCCCTTCCTGTGACTATCCAGAAGTGTGGGACTGCTCAGCTTGTTTTTAGTATGAGTTCCAGCTTCACCTGGATACGGTGACGTGTGGTCATATACATGTGTACACTGTAGCAAAAGAACCATCACCCTACCAATTAGAGTTCTCATGGAATATGTGAAAACCTGTCTTAGCATCCCTGTTTTTACACAACCAGGGGAGAATTAGCCCACTTTTTTTCAGCTACACAAGGCTTTAAGGGTCCAGATAAATAAAATACTAAATGTGATGTAGGTCCTTTATGATATGGCATACTTGTACTTAAGATTTTTTTTCTTAAGGTGTTAATCAGTCCTATAAAATCCTATTTTATAAAACTGGAGGCACTGTCCTTTTAGCAAAAAAACTAAAGCATTAACTGAGGACACTTTTTGCCTTCACATCTAGCAAGGGGCCATTTGTTTCCTGGTGTCAACAGTTAGGTAATTGGCCAGAGGCCAGTGGCCGGGAGGATGGGCCCCAGGTTGGAGTCTGTAAGTGGTGGTCAGTCTGGAGGACAGGCAGACTGGGAATGTGGATGGAAAGGAAGGTAGATGCTGGAGCTAGGAAAAAATGTATTGTAAAGTTACTGATCTGATGAGTTAATTGAGCAAAAGCCTAGAAGGGAGAAGGAAGGCAGGGAAGGCTCGGGACAGCCAAGGGTTTGTGCTTCTGGAACGTTATCCTGCGATGAGCTCAGCAGAGTGAGTGGAGGCAGGAGGAGGCGGGTGTCACTGTGGGAAGGGCCTTACAGCAGCAGCACTGCGTAGAGTTTTCTTTTTTTTAGTTAAGTGAAAAAGCCAGATATTTATAATGTGATGATCTCTTCCAAAGAAGTGTTTGATGGGGGAGGAGAGGGGGGAGGAAGACAGACCAAACAAGAGGCCCAGAAGCCAGAAGGAAGGTAGAGTGGCAGCCCTCCCAGGAATCCATCATTGTCCAGGCAATGTCCTCGAGTCTCCCATCTGTGCTCTGAGCATGTATGTGCGTGCTGCGTTTTCCAACTCACACGGAGAATCTTGACGCCTGGAGACAGAGCTTGCTCCTCTCGGGGCAGCATGTAGCCAGCAGGATAATTTTATTTTGAGCATGCACGGTAGAGTTGTGATGCCATTTGTCTTAAATAATTGAATGTAACATAATGTTGGGAATTCAGGTGGAGTAAAACAGAGGTCTTTAAGAAGAGAGGAAAGTGAGAGGATTTCTTCTCACCTCTTCACAGGCTTTCTAGAAGCCTGTCATAATGTGTGGCTCTCTGTTTCTACAGGAGCACCTGTACTTACATTGCAATTTGCTGAGCTTATACCTTCATGAATAGTGTCACAGCTTCCTTTATTGACTTGTTCGCCTTCCACGCAGGTCAATTTTTCAGAAGGAGGACCCGGCTCTAATTCCACTGGCAGTGAAGTAGCGTCGATGTCCTCTCAACTCCCTGACACACCCAACAGCATGGTAGCCAGTCCTATTGAGGCATGAGGAACATTCATTCAGATGCGTTTTTTCCCTGTTGGAGAAAGTGGGAAATTATATTGTTGAACTCTGAAACAAAAGTATTTAACGACCCAGTCAAGGAAAACTGAATCAAGAAATGAATGCTCCATGAAATGCACGAAGTCTGTTTTAATGACAAGGTGATATGGTAGCAACACTGTGAAGACAATCATGGGATTTTACTAGAATTAAACAAACAAACGAACGAACCCAGGACCCATCATAATACTATTCAATGATCTTAGGAGTACTGAAAAAAAAAGACGTTTTTAAAACGTAGAGGATTTATATTCAAGGATCTCAAAAAAAAAAAAAAGCATTTTTTGTTTCACTGCACATCTAGAGAAAAACAGAAACAGAATTTTCGAGTCCACCCTAACCTCAATGGTGCTGTTCTATGTGGCCATCGCCTTGCTGAGCAGGAGCTCCAGCGAAGAGCAGGAAGAGCCTGGGCTCCAGGGCCCAGAGAGTGCTTTCAGCACGGGGAGCTGCATTGCTTTGCAGTGTTTTTAGTTGACTTTAACAAGGAGTTAATTGAAATCCTGGGTCTCTTAGCATGTCCTGTAGCTGGTTTCCTTTGTACTTTTGCCACCCGCCACCTCCCTGGCCCTTTTTTTTGAGATCCATCCTCTATCAAGAAGTCTGAAGCGACTTTAAAGGTTTTTGAATTGAGATTTAAAAACCAACTTCTAAAGCATTGCAACAAGGTTACCTCTATTTTGCCACAAGCGTCGGGATTGTGTTTGACTCGTGTCTGTCCAAGAACTCTTCCCCCAAAGATGTGTATAGTTATTGGTTAAAATGACTGTTTTCTCTTTCTCTGGAAATAAAGAGGAAAAAAAGGAAACTTTTTTTTTGTTTGCTCTTGCATTGCAAAAATTATAAAGTAATTTATTATTTATTGTCAGAAGACTTGCCACTTTTCATGTCATTTGACATTTTTTTGTTTGCTGAAGTAAAAAAATAAGATAAAGGTTGTACCGTGGTCTTTGAATTATATGTCTAATTTTATGTGTTTTGTCTTTTTTTTCTTAAATATTATGTGAAATCAAAGCGCCATATGTAGAATTATATCTTCAGGACTATTTCACTAATAAACGTTTGGCATAGATAACTAAATAAATGCGATGATTCAGGGTCCCTCTTTTATACATTAGCAAGGCTTTAAAGTGTCTGAAATTAATTGCATGTAAATTGGGGTATGCCCACGATGCACTAGTCAATATTGTTTTGCAAGTAACTAAGGCTGCATTTGCAAGTTTGGGACTCAGTGCCCTAGCGGGACCACAGTGGGTTGGAGAAGCCTTAATTAGCTCAGGTGCAATCCTGTTCCGGATTTGTGAAAGTGAGACGCTGCCTCGTTCTGCAATGTCCTCACCGGCCCGCTCTCTTGCTCCCCGAAGGGAGACAGTGCCTCTAAAGTGGCTTTGACTTGGAGCCAGTGTTTTCTTAGAGTAAGTGCTTTATTATATCAGAGTCTCCCGGTTGGGTTGTTGAAATGACCCGTGCTTCCCAGACAGCTCTTGCTAAAAGCAGACTTGTGCAGCCAGCGAGGGGGTCACCACTGTTCTAGAGCTGCTGCTCCATCTGCGCTGAAGGGAGGCCGGGGGGGGGGGGGCGCGAATTCCGGCCTTCCCCAGCCCCAGCTCTAGGCCTTGCACCCCTCCTCCCAGTCACCCCTTCTTTCGCGGCCGCAGTTCCAAAACCCAGACCCAGGTAGAAGCGGCCCAGGAGGTGCTGGGGAGTCGCCTTTTGCAGCATGAGGGTGGGGGCTGATGAGGGACGATCCGAGTTAGGGATTCGGGTGGGAGACCCCCATCAGCGACAGCAGGAGCCAGGTGAGTCGGGCCGGGTAGGAACCGGGCTTCGGGAGGAGGCCTGGGCTCGGCCGCTCCTGCCCCTTCCGACCTGGAGGCTCGGGTTCCTCAGAACCGGGTACATTTGTACGCGAGTGCATTGTCTGGTCAGTGTCCTTAAACTCTGAAAGCCGAAGGTGGGGGGCGACGCCGCCTGCTCCGGGGTCCCGGGAGCGGCACCGGCTCGAAAGCCGAGTCCTCTGTCTCCAAACCTGCGGCGGATCGGAAAGCCAGCCGCAATTAGGCTTTTGTTTGGCGTCGTTCTACATAACGGGTTAATTACAGCCTCTGGCGTGGGGGCTGAGAAAAAACAAACTTTGTATTGAAAATATTGCTGTGCATTAGACATGCCCCTTGATTACTCTGATTGTTGTGTCTAATTCTTGCCAGAGGGGTAATAATTTGGCTGACGGTAATAGTGGCTTGTAGTCTTCTGTTGAGAAAAACAAGAGTTAGCTCTTGTCTCACACAGATCTTCTCCTGGAAAGGAGTTTTTGCCCCTTTTCTCTTCTCTCCCAGCTGTTCTAATCCTTGGTCACCAACATCTTAGTTTCCCGTTTGCTCCATCTCTTGGTCTGCCTTGTTGGCTTTCCTTGTTGGAGTATCAGGAAGGGAAGCGTGTGCAAGGGTGGTGGGTCCACGGAGCATGTGGGGAGACCCGCAGTGCCAGCCTAGGGAAGTTCCTGAGCCCCTAGCTGTGACCCTTGTCCCTGGAGGACAGTTGAATCCTTAGGACCCAGAGATGGAAAAAGCAAATAATTTTTTTTTTTTTTTGCTGTGAATGCAGGAAGGGACCAAAGGATCACATGTGTATGAACCTTTTCCCTCCTGGCATTGCACTGATTTGTGAGATTAGAGGTGTGTGCTTGTGTGTGTGGAGTGTGTAGTATGATCTATACATCTATAGATCTCTAGGTATACAGATATATATTCTGTCCTAGGTATATAGATCTACAGATACGTAGATATATATTCCATCCATTCTGAAGCCCACAGCTTGAATTTAAGCAAGTAACTTAGGAGGGGGTGATGAATGATTGGTTTCACTTGCTGGATTCAAGATATTTGTTGCCTGGCGGCTGAGAATGGATGGCTGGTCGATAGCATTCTAGTTCTTGTATTATTCATATGCAAGGTGTGTCTGCTCCCTCCAGGCTCGGCCTGAGCTCTGTCGTGCCTCCGAGCGTCACCTTGCCTGCGGATCATCTCGGCACACACCTTCCTTCTCCCCAAGCACCTCTGCAGATCTGCCCTTCCAGGGAGGTTCCTCCCATGTGCAGTCCTGTGTGGTCCCCCCTTCTTGGCTGCTCAGAATCCTTCCTCCTGGACACACGGTAATAACACATCTCCCCAGCTTTTGCAGGCTAAAATTTAGAGTAACTAGAAACACCTGAGATCCTCTCTCAGCCAGGGGCTCTGTGTCAGTATCCGTCTTTATAAAGAAGAAAGCCGCCCCATGGTTTCAGAGGAAGAGCATCTTCTAAGTCTATTGTCTCTCTTTCTCTTTCATCGAAGAGACTTGATTCTTTCTTATCACCAGAAAAGATCCCTTTTAAAGGAGGATGATACTGGAAGACATTTTTTCCTTTGGTTGGAATCATTTCTCTGGTTCTTTTGGCGTCTGCGCGGGCATGGGCACCACATGCCCTCTAAAAGCCTCTCGGTGCCTTCACGCTGACCATCTTGCCCAGCTCACCCTGAGGACCTCGGCTGGGTGTCCCTCCCGATCTCTAGCCCGGGAGGCGGGGTGCTTGGAAAGTTACCTAAGCAGTGCAGCAATTTCTCTAGAACTTGAGCTTTTAAGCCACAAACAAGAATGCTGTCACAATGTATAGTAATATATAATTCATCGCTATTAGAGAACCCATGTGAATTTGTTTTCTTTTTTCTTAAAAAAAAGTAAGTTTAAAATCTTAGTCAACCCCAGAAAGATGTTTGTATGGCTTGCTACCACTTTAGGTTTTTAATCTCATCCCTAAAGTCAGTAAACTAACGGAAAGTATTTACTTTTTATTTGTAAAGTTCAGTTAGTCAACTTCTATGAAGGAAATTTATAATCCAAATTAAGCTTGAGTTCTATTGATTAAGAACTATTTACTTTCTCTTTGCAAATCAACAATTAAAGATTAAATCACAACAAGGCAAATAGTTTTCGTTAGGGACCATTGAAGAAGGAAGGAAGGAATTCTTTTTGTGCTTTTATTTTAAAAGCATTGTTTTGTAAGATGGTCCTAACTCTTGAATTTTCATTACTGATTTGAAATAAAAGCAAGCAACTTGTACAGTGTGACTCGGTGTTTTTAAACTGAAATGCAAGTAGTTAATTCGAGGCTCTGGCAGCGATTTTGTTTACTGATCTTTTCTGATTGTTGTTTTCTTGATAACCGAGGAAGCCACTGAATGGCTATTTGAGTCCAGGCGCCACAAACATAAACTTCACAGCTTACAATGTCCCGAGCCCTGACGGAGGGTCTCTCCACACCTCCGGAGCCTTCTGAAGTGTAGACAGAGAGGTGGGGTCACGGGAGCGACGCGGGGGAGGGGCGGCCTGGATGGCTGCTGGGGTTCGCCGCTGGCATTGTTACTTTAATTTTTATGATGCTTAAGCCAAAGGCTCCCAGCAGCCGGGTTCCCAGCCTGGAGGAAGCTTTCCCATCCCCGAACTGCACCGAAGGCTTCTTGATCCTGCCTGTTAAAACATTTTATGGTGCAAATCTTTCTTGGTAATTATCTCTGCAGAAGCACTCAGTATTGACAAGCAAATGCATTCTAAAAAGATAACCCTGTGTGTGCGTATGTATGTGGTGTGTGTGTGTGTGTGTGTGTGTGTGTGCGTGTTCTAGGGAGCCACCTAGATTTGGGAGGACGGTGCAGGCTGATTGCCTGCTTCCGGGTGGGGAGGAGGGTGCGCGGACCTGACCTCTAGGAGAGCCTAGGTAAGGGTCGCCTGGCCCCTGGGCCGGCTCCCTGCACCGTCTCCTTCTGCCCTTCAGTCCGAGGCTCGCGTTCTTTTCGGGGTGCTGCTGTCCGTGACTGGACTCAGGTGCCCGCTGATCGTGGCGACCTCGCCCGCGAGGCCCGGGCAGGCACCTTTCCCTCGACCCTCTGCCCTGGAGTGGGGGCGAGAGAGAGGGCGGGGCGGGGGGGACCCCCAGGGCAGGGAGGGGACCCCGAGGGCTGGGAGCGGGGACCCCGCACTGGTCGAATCGCCCCGCCACCCCGCAGGCCAGTCAGCCTGGGGTCCCCAGGGCAGGGCCGGTGGTCGCCGGGAGGGAGAGGGCGTGCCCGGGCCCTCCGTCCCGGCGGTCGCTAATCCAAACACGGCTCGACTCGCGGCCCGAGTCTAGACGGAGCCGGGCGGCGGCTCCTTATCAGGCGCTGGGATCGGCGGGGAGGCGCAGCCGAGCTGGGGCGCGGACGCCCGCCGCGCACTGCTCCTGGGGGCGCTGCCCCGGCCTCTGAACCCCGGGGGAGGCGGCGGGCGTCTGGGGCCAATCCAGGGTCCTCCTGCTGCCTGGAAGTGACGGCCCTGCGCCCCCGCCGCTTGGGGCTTGCGGGGTCAGTGGGCTCTGACCGGCGATCAATAAAATCATTTAGTTCAGCAATAACCTGCGTTTTCGCCTTTTCCTCCTAATGTACCCAGAATTCGTGTCACCATCTCGGACACGTTGTCCCCGCGCGGCCTAGGCCTCTCCCTCCTGAGCAGGAGCCAGCAGGCCACTTTCGGGGTGCTGGGGCCCCGATCCGGCCCCCTGTCCGGTGCCTCAGAGCCTGGGCTGCGGTCCCCTGGCGCAGGCACCATCAGACAGTCTGTCCTGCTCCTTTTGGGGTAAAATAAGTGGCCTTGGGGATTTACAACCAAGGATTTGGGGGCTTGAGTTTCAAATTAATTGAATAAGTTTACATTATGATTTTGCTTATGTCCTATAACTTGTTTTCTTTTTCCAAAAAGAAGGGTGATGTTATAGTTGCGTTTTTCTAGTCCG